AACGGTTACAATGCCAACCGCTGAGGTAATCCCATAAAAGAGACTTAAAGCTCGAGTGGATCATGTTTCGCGTTGCACGAAGCACGTACTTTTCCGAGCCAAATTGGCTTAACTCTCTTCAGTGGCGACTTCTGCGTGTCATACGGTATTATAAGAAAACCATTGTGTAGTACCTAATCTAAACTTCGAAGGTATCGCCAATCTCTGTTTATGGCGTTGCATTCAAAGCGGATTGACAATTACGCGATATCGTGCGGGATTATTACTGCAAAAGCGGATGTTGTGAGCGCGAGTTACACGAACTTGTGAAAAAAACCTATCAAGAGATCTACTTTCAAGAAAAACATGCTGCATTCTTGACACAGCTCAAATGTTATATAATATACTAATTAGATGTATAATAATTATCCGCGTTAAATAAGAAATTGTAACATATCACTAAAAAAAAAACAAAATTACTTTTATTATTAAAATAGAATCGATTAACAAATCTTTTTAATACTATTCTCGTTATCTATATCTATCTTGCTCTCTTTCTCTCTCTCTCTCTCTTTTTCCTTATTTCTCAAAATTTCTCAAAAACATTTTATCCTAGAACGTAATAAAATATTATTCACTCATTTACTCTCCACTTCTTCCCGACCGTACTCTTAAGAGCGTACTCGCCATAGAAGACCACGATAAGCACAGCTAGACTATTAAGCTAAATTAAGAATCGCAAGGCGCCCTTGCTCGGCGCATAACGAAGACATCGCGTTTGCCCGGATCTGGTTCACCATCGCCGAGCATCGTTGATTCTTAATACGCGCCGCAGTGCCCATTGTCGCCATTTTCCTGGCGATTAACCCGCGGGCCGGTCTCGCCTTCATACAAATTCCCTCGTCTCCGCGGCCCGGGCTATTTTTCTCGCCTAATGTACGCTCGCATTAGCGTCACGGAGTCGCTCTTTACGAGAGGGAAAATTATAATTTCCCTGGGAAAAGTCGGCGCTGAATTTACTACCTCGTGATAGTCGCGCTCACCCCTACGGAAAATTCCGTCGTGCGCCTCCCTTTTTCCTGCGCGACCTGCTTTCCCTTCCTCCGCTCCCCTTCCTCCTGCTTGCCTCCCCAGTCCACACCTTGTACACTTTATTCTCGTTTATATCTACGAGCATTTCCCGTCTCCGTCACACTTTCTTGATTGCGCGGATCGCGGATACTTTTCGATAAAGCATGGGTGTGTCGAGGGGCGTGACCGCGAAATTATTTCTGTACATATCGCACCCGGTGCGACCTGCTTTTCTCGAAAGTGCCGATAAATTGAATGCCCGAGTTATTTTACTGCCGTGGAACTTGGTTCGCCATTTAAGAAGGATTTGTGCGGAATTGATAAATATAGCTATATAATAAAAGCCTATTGTATCACAATTACGCTACGAATTCTAACGAAGCGACAATTTCTTCATCAAGAGAGCGTAATTGTCTCGAGACGGAGGTATAGGGATGAAAATCATCCTCCTCCCTTACCATCCTAAATTTTGCCGCTCGCCACTGTCTCGAGAGCTGTAATTGCCCCAATTTGAAATACGACGAGGCCCACGTCGCGATTTGATTGAATCAAACCGCAACCGTGGTTTCTCGACATAACTTAACATGGCAGGCGATCCGCAGACGGGCGAATTCAGGCGCCGCGCCGGGACGGCTGCACGCCCGCGATCGCCCGGCGCGACGGCGATTTGTCCGTTTTACGGTAGATCCCGTAACTCCTCCGCGCTCGAGCGCGGTATTATTGCCTAATGCGGATCATCGAGCTTTACCGCGTGCTCGCATTATGCCACGATCCGCGTCGCATCCTCCGCCTGTAAATCATAGGCCTGCCCTGCCGTTAAACCACCCCTCGCACATTCCGGTAGTAACGGCGCGTCGTTTGCCAGCCGCGCGTCGCCAGTGGTAGCGCGCCGCGCGGTTGGTCCGCGAGCGGCGACGTACGACGAGTATCGTAATCGGCCAATTAAATTAGGCGGCGGCGCGTAATTGTACGTCAACGTCTGCCCGGGCGTCCGTAATTGGGAGTTAACGTGTACGCGCACGTATAACACCGCCGCCCGTGGCTGTAATTAGGATTGTTTTCGTTGTGAGAGCGCGCGCTCCCCCGGCACGGCAATCGCGCCTCGTCGATACGTTATTCCCACCGACGCTGCTAATTATTTTACTTTGTTTCGTTAGCCACGTAACGCGCATACAGCTTTAACGTTATTGTAACACTCGCGCGAGTAGAGCGCCGCACGGTATATGCGTATAATTGCCAAAGCACTCTCCACGTCGCGCGATTCGTAAAGAGATCTTTCGGAGAAACGTGCTTCGATTTCCGGAACGAGCGGTGATTCATTGACGGCAAGTTGTTCGCACGTTCGCGGAAACGTTGAATAGAAAGAACAAAGAAAAAACGAATCTACATTTCAGCACCGTAGTAGTTCGGAGATTAGTAGTTCCATGCGTTAAACGATAATTATCCCAGCGAGTATTTAGCGGACTGTCGCAGAGCATCGCGCGGTGTGAGCATTTGTAAGCACAAATTTCTCACTTTAATTCAACTCGCGCCGTGATATAACGACGATTTCAACCACCGTAACGAAAGATCGTCAGCCCGAAATTCAAAACTTTCCCACCTCTGTGCAAACGTATAGCCTCTCTCGCGACGAGAAATTATTGCCAGCTGCTGCCGATGGACCGTTTATGCGACTTATAAGTTTGCGTACAGAAGCGCAGAGGAGCGTGCAGTTAACGCGCAACCCCGCGAGCGATGCACGAGAGACACGCGGCAGATGACGACGGGTGTAAGACTCCGCAAACTGGAACCAGAATCAAAACAGACGCAAAATCTCTCGCGTCTGTGGTTCTGTGGCGTCGCGTCACAGAGACACGGACAAGCCCGACGGCATGCACGTGCGTGCATGACGCGGCGCGCACATAGACTCTCGCTATTAATTCGGCACCTACAAGCAAGGCGAGCTTACACCGCAGATAAACAGCGCTGTGACATTCGATGCGAGTTGCACGTTACGTGAGAGCTAGTCACTGTTAAGGAAGCAAGTTCACGCAAAATTAGTTCGCGGATTGAAAAATAATACGGTACGGTGTAATTGCTGACGCACTTCCTGTTATTTATTGAGCAGGCATTATTCGCGGCTGTATCATGATAAATCCGGTAATGGTATCATCGATGTAACTCAATAATGCTCGAAATATCAAAGCGGATTATTTGATTTCCGCTCTGGCGATTTTTGTGTCGCCCTCGTTACGCCTATATCGCTTTTCATCTTTTTTTTCACGGTTTTTTTTTACATCCATCCAACGATCCGCAAAGAGCGTGTCTTTTTATTTCCCATCGGAAATTATAATTACACATCTCGATCGACGTGCGTATATACATCCGTATTCCCGCTGATGCATACAAAAGTTACGAAATAATTCACGAATCCATCATCGGAAACATTAATTATGTCGCAGTGATCTCATTTTGTCTCGCTTTGATTATAGATTGTTACACCACATTCGCAATATTATTATTGCTCTTGCCTACCATCTACACGGGGTTTATTCGTGGTCGAGCAGAGCCCACGCTGCAATCTCGCAGTAGTTATTGCGAAGCGTGGTCAGCCAGTAGTCACGCTATACATCAGTTAGCGCTAGCTAGTGTATAATGCACAGCACGCACGTATTTGACATCAATTAAATCGAGTAGGTCTATTAATTAGTATTATATATCAGACGTCTGGAATCGAATAATTCAGATAGAAGTCCAGAGAATTATGTACACACTGACGTCTAAAACTAGGTCACCTAATAACCACGCTGAATATTCTCGATGTCACATCCAAAATGTAACGACATTAATTTACGACATTAATTTATTTGACGTCAATCGTGAACATGATAGGCCACGTAATAGCTAATCAATAGATTTAAAATTTAGGTGAATCCTTTCTTTAATTTCAGTTAGCCTCAGTCTGCCTCCACCTAATTTAGCGGTGCACAAAAGCGTCTAATTCATTTCGCGGATCGTTCTGAGAGGACTGAGAGACGTAGTCCCATTGTCGTGCAGTTAATTGCACGGTAATTACGAAGCGATGCTCGAAGAAAGACAAGTTGTTTTATTTCCGCTCTGACGATTCCTGTGCTTCTCTTGTTACATCTCTTGGATTTTCCTTTTTTTTTTACAGCTTTTTACGGTTCGCGACTTCCTCCGAGAATCGTCAGCAAGAATATACCGCTTTATTTCCCATCGGAATTACGATACACGTCCGTAATTGTCGTTAAATTATCAGTCTTGATTTGCTTTAAAAATTGCATTAAACTGACGGCAAGGAATATTTTTACATGGTATTTATTTTTTCCTGTATACAACCAATTTGCGCGGCGCAACGCGCAATATGTAAAATTAAATCCAGCTAATAAACTGATTTAATGATAGCTGGAAAACGATCGCGTTAAACATTTTAATTGAAATATATTTCGTTATCTTTTTATATTAGCACGCTTACTTTATTATCGCGTTATGGAGAGAGATACATTCAATAATTTCGGTGTCTCCTGTTTTATGCCTTGTATACTTTTTTATGAGCCCATCTTTTTTAGACCTTAACATAAAAATTTTACGCCTAAAATTTTTACGTTCAAAGTGAAGCTGTAATGGCGAACTTCGGAAAATTCTATAAGACTGACGAACGGACCCGGATGCTTCCTGCAGTTCATCCAGAAATTTCCTGGCTCGTGTGACCTCGCGACCTCTCGCCCATCTTTCAAACAGCTGAATTAGGTACTTTAAATGCGAGCGAGTCGAGTGCTCGCTGCGTCAAATCGTCAATTCGTCACCCCGCATCCGGGCGTTCGGATTACGCATTTTAGAATAATAATCTCGTTGAATTCGTGACCGAGCAAACCGCGGCAACTGCTGCACAATTTCCATGACAAAATTTCGGTTTTGCATGCGGCACTGCTGATGCTAAACTTCGTGAGTATTGATAAATTGTGTCATGTTTTATTCTATTTGAAGCACATTGATATTAAAAAAAAAATTAATACATGTAAAATCGTCGGATGTAAAATTGTATGATCTCATGCCAATGATATCACAAAAATTCGTTAAATTCTACTCGTACTTTTGTCCTTGTTATGGATTTCATTGTGTTTTAAGCTAATTAAAAAATTATCGAATCAGTAAACAATTTCAGGTATATTTGTATTAATTAAATTTATTGCGACAGTAATATTTCGCTGTACTGTTGTTGTTTGTTTGCATGGCTAAATATTGCGCACGACAGAATAAAAAAAGGCAATATAAATACACGTAAATGGATATACGAGCCATCATGGTAGCCAAAGTTAGGAAAACAAAGTCGATATGACGTCTTAAAAAATATTTTAACCGTTAGTGATATGCGTTATATTCTTATTAGTTCGATACTTGCTTGAGAATGTAAAGCTGTGACGTAAATTCAATAAAAAGCCATCGATTCGATCAGAGTTTTTATCCGCAATTATCAAAACGGGATATAGATTGATAGAGCCATTCATCCTGTGTAAAGCCTCGCTTAGTTTCTGCGCTACACGCTCGCATGTCACACGGCTCAAATCGGCTTGTGTACGCGTAAGCCTCGAAGCACGTAACCGGCCAATGCGCTCGGAGAGGAAAATTGCGAATGGGACGTGACAACGGTTTTTTTTTCGCGACAAGAGATCGCACAGTTGCAGCAGCGAGCGAACGGTTTTCGAGCGACGAACAAACAAGCGCTAACGACAAATAACAAGAGCTGTTGAGCTCTGATGGAGAAAAATCCACCGGAGGGAGGAATGGCCGCACTTAGCCGGTAGAATCTTTTGCATGACGTATTCTTAGCCTTTGCAGAGTGGAAATTTCAAAAATTCTCATTCGAGAATGTTCGCCAAGGTAATTTCGCGTCGGATATGTGTACCTTTACATCTTTTGTAATTTTTAAGCTCGTAAAAGTATATCAGATTTTATATTTTATAGCGAGTGTGCGTGTATATTTTTAATAAAATTCATCCAATAAAAGAGAAAACTGTCGTGTGTCAAAATCAAAGTGGTGCAAACATAAATCTTCGTTATCGACAAAAATAATCCAATTATTTTCAAATATCATTTACGCAAATTACTGTCTGCGCCGCCGGGCGAGCGAGATGAATTTAAAAACTCGGTCACGCAGCAGTTAGTCGCGCGATTTAATGAAACTCTTGCAATATGTAGAGTGGTACCTGGTCACGGGAAAAAGGAGGGTGTCTGTAGGTGGAGGGAAAATTACCGACGTGACGAAGTGGCCATTAATAACGCAAAATGGTCCCGCGACGCTTCATTACTTTCACCCCTTTTTTAAATTAGCAGTCGAGAAAAAGTGTTAGACGGTTGGTACGTTCCTTGAATTAAACCTCCGTACGAGTTTCATTAGAACAAACAGCGTAATGGCCGTTTTACTTATTTGCTATCGGTTCGGGTGGCAAGCGAAAGTAATGAATGAATATAGCAACGACAAGATAAGCGAGATTGCCCAAAGTCGGTAGTCGAACTGAGATTGGGCTGAAGTTTTCTGGAAAATTAAGTTTGGCAGAAGAACATATATTTTGCAGGACTTACTTTTTCGTGAGAAGTAATTTCTCATAATTTCTTCGATAGTAAAGTTTGCGATACATCTTCAAACAAGTTCCATCAAATTTTTGTTCAGACTCTGGAAGAATTAAGTTAATTATGAATTTTACATAGGACGAACAAGGGAAATAAATTTTCTAAAGAATATGTATTACATTGGCTTACATAGAATCGGAATTCAGAATACATGATGAAGTCCGAAAAATACGAATATTAATTTCCCGTTATTTTCGCGCGATGATGAGGAGCATACGGAAATTGACCCGCAGGCAAACCGCATGACAGGTTCGAAACTAGTTTCGCGGCCGTCCTATGTCCCGACATCGCCCCGACAACTTTCCGTTATCGTCAGGCATACGTTGTGTGTGCGTGAAATTTGAGATTTCTCATTTAACTTTCGTTTAATTATTATTACGGGTGGGACCGGTTCGACGTTGCCATTATCACGATACATGCGGCTGGAGTCCGTGGAGGATGTTTCACGGAGAGCAAAAACCAACAGGATTATGAACCAGCGGCAGCGCCCAGTACATCGGTCCGAGTGTCGTTAAATTTATGCAAATAATTTTCATTAATATTAAACGGTAGCATGATGCAGCTTGAGAGACGCGCTGTTCACACTCCGTTAAATAACGCTTGTGGATATGGCTGTACTCTTGATTCAGATCCTGAGTTTCCCAACTTTCCAGCTTCACGCATCATTTTAATATTTCCGGAACGTTTCCTGCATCACCTGTAACAGAAATTTAACAGTATTAAAATTAACGAAATTTATGCAAATTTTATTTTCTTTATTTTTTATCCTTTCATCAAATTTAATTATTAATTAAATATTTTTGTATCTCTTTCCCCATATGTACTTGCAAGGTAAATGTACACGTTCAGGTTTGGATATTAAGTTTGGAGAGATGCTTTTAGGTATCTTGCTTTTAGAGGTAATGTAGATTCTGTGTTACCTCTGACTGCTCTTCATATATTACGTTAGTATTTGAGCGTATTCAGTTCTGCTGATAGTTTAATTAATATTTCGTTCTCCTAATAAAGCAGTATTTTAAAATATTATAATAATTAATAATTAATATAATATATTTTTAGTTTAGCCCAGTATATCCACACAAATTTCTAATCAATTTGTAATCGAAATAATTCGTACAATCTGTCATGATAGCGTTTATGATTTACATAAATATGGAATGCATTTTCATGTGTATTATTATTAATATAGTCAATGTCAGTGTCACAACAGGCACGCGAGGTCAGCATATTGCAACCGCACGTCAAAGATAATATATTCCATGCGTAACGCTGTAATATGCTCCTGCATGCTCAAGAACAAATTTCTCGTCAAAAAGCGTCTCTTTCGCATGTTACCGCGCATTAATGTGGATAAATGACGTCTTTGCGTACAACTAACCTTATAATTGAGTAAAAAAAAAGGTACAGATTTCCTTATACATATTATCATTAAAAGTACAATGGGATTCGAGCGAACCATATAATGTTCAATTACCTCGTTTCTTTACGGGAAACAGAGTATACGTATAGTTAAAAGTTTTAAAGCTACTTCAGTATGAAGGAAATTTTAGATTCGCGTTTAGATTTCGCGTAAGTGGTCACGAAGGCTAAGTCACAAACGCGTCACAAGTAAGTGTAAACTCCAAGTCCTCTGCAACTGCATTTCTTTTGCAAGATATATATCTTTGGACTCTTTGGTGCAGGTTCTTGTAGTCAACGTTCGCGTCCGTGCACAACAATTATGCCGTATTAACCTGACCTCGCGATGGCGTCTCGTCGTGACAGAGCGTTGTCACACACGCTTCGGACATTTCTGTGTCGCTGCCGGCTGCATTGTTCGCCGGGAATCAAAACCGGACCAGTTCCGACCACAGAGGGAGCGAGAGAGAGAGAGAGAGAGAGAGAGAGAGAGAGAAGAAGAAGAAGAAGAGAGAAAGAAAGAGGGTTGGAGAGAAAGAGAGGGAGAGTGACAGAGATCCGACGATGCCGACACCGGGATCGGGGTGCCACAACCGTAGCGTAACACATAACGCAAATACGACCCGCTGACGTATGCGCTGACGTAGGTGAGACGCGACGTCGCGAACGCGCGTTTCACGGGCGTGCAGCCGGATCGCGACGTCGGTGCACCGCAGAAGCCGTGACAGTCGACCAGGGGGAGGGGGGTGGTGGAGAACGAGGGGAGACAGGGTTAACGAAAGAGAGGAAACGGTATGGGGAACAGCGGTAGCGCGGAGGAAGAGCAGAGAGAGAGAGAGAGAGGGAGAGGGAGAGAGGAGAGCCCTGTTGTGTAGCCGTCAGCACTGAGAATGGCAAGTGAGTTCCACCGGCTCTTTCGCCCGTTGCGGTACGGCCCGTGAGTGGCTTCCGGAGTGACAGAAATCTTCTTCCGCTCCGTGCCCCCTCCTCGTCCCGGTCGCATTTGAATCGCAAATCTCCCGCATCGTCATTGTTTGCCCGGCCAACTCCGCGAAACGGAGCGCGCAACGCATCATCCGCGGAGTAAGCGCTCCGTGCGGTCGGATGGTCTCCATAAGATCGTCGCACGGAAAGGCGACGGAAGAGTCCCTCTTCTACAGGAGATTCTTCTACAGGATAGATTTCACTAATATTTGATGTTGGATGTCTCGCCGCGATATTATAATATTAGATAATCATTTTAACGATTTTCAGTATAATCGACACATTGCATCTTTAATAGAGATTTCTTGATCTTGAGGAAAACGAAGATTGCTGTTAATTAAATCTTTTTTTTTTGTTTGACACCGGTAGTTATGCTAGAGAATACACATTATCAGGATGCACGCGATATCTCTCTGTCGTACATGATGCACAATATTACCGCACCTATATGTATTCATGATCGAAGATACAGAAAGCGATCTAATCATGCCGCCAACCAAATACATATGCGTTGCCCCAGTTGTCGTAATTGGATATCGATCTCCGAGTAAACAAAAATTTCAATTTTGACTCGACTTTTCGTCTATATATATATATATCTCTCTCTCTTGTGCTCTCTCTCTCTCTCTCTCTCTCTCGGCCTTCCAATTCGCTGGAATTACTATCGGTCGATTAAAGCCGAGTGAATTACGAAAAATTGATGTATCGTCGGAACGGGCTGCGTTACGCGGACCGTAATTCCGACGCCTAATTTTCATGATGGCGCTATACACCGTGCCCGCGTTGCGCGTATAATACGCGGATAAAAGCGCGCGCGCGGCTTTTCTCGACGTATCAGCTGGCCGAAAATAATGCACGTGCGTTGAGCAAGTGCGGGACGCAGGTGCGCTCGCCTCCTCTCTCGTGCATATATCGCGCGTTTAGTGCATGCGGCCGGAACGCGTGCGAAGGCCGCATTTGTATTGTATATCGCACGCGCACGAGAGAGAGAGAGAGAGAGAGAGAGAGAGAAAGAGAGAGAGAGAGCTGCATCCACTCTCTAGTGCCTTTATGCATCGTTCTTTCGTGTAACGTCGCACGCATGCACAAATCAACATTTACACAGAGACGGATTCGCGCATAGAAAAGCTTCCACAGGACGGTTCGTTATGACTAACGGTCCGTTTTGCGTATCCAAGGGAAATATACGATTTTTTACGATGGCATAGCCTTCGTGCCCTCCTGCACATTCTCTCTCCGCTCCTCCCGGCCGTCTCCCTCTCCGCGCGGAAGGGATGCGAGATAACAGGATGCAACGAAATGTTATCCGTTCGTCCGGCTTTAACGGCGAATGCATGGTGTTAGTGATTGGTACGCAGCACCGTGGTTTATCGATGTTGTGTGCGGTCGAAAAAAAAATTTTTTTTTTTCTGTTTTCACGGCTGTGACAAATATCGATACATTTCACCGGAGTGTCGCCGCAAGAGCGGGAATCGCCGGAAAGCGCGGTGTCGTAATATACAGCTTTCATCACTTCCGAAGAGCGCAATGAACGGGCTCCAGATATAGCGTTTCTGTGAGAAAAATTAATATGCCTTGCGATTCGCAAAATAACAAACAAATGACGTAAATTTTAAATGAAGAGCATGAAGTTGCAGAATGATGCATACGTCACGGAAGTCGTGTATTTCCTTTGAAACACAGGAAAAACTACAAAAAATGTACAGAGATTTTAATGTCGATTTTTGGAAATTAATAATAAATTAAATTTATGTGCGATATAAACGATTAAATAATTCGTTAATAAAAAGTTAATAAATTAAGGAGTTGAATGAGTGGAAATAACGAAATATAAATTTTATGTATTATAATCGGGTTGTGTGTTTGTCAAGAGAGTAAAAATAAAGTTGGTATATCTAGCGGCCAGAAATTTTTTAGATATATTATATAAGTATATAAAATTCGCGAGAGATGTAACGCGTGTGCTATCTCGGGGCCATAAACTTACGACTAATCTCGGCGCGATATTGCGTGCCGCTGTGCCGTGTACCCAGCAACAACAATGTAAACTAGCAAAAGTTTATCGACGGTTTTACGCAGTGCATACGGCTACAACGGTTTTCGCTCAAACGCCCCCATTCTGAACAGCAACGGTTCGGATGTTGCCGAGTTGCATGAGCGGCATTTGTCGGAACTGCGGTGAGCCCCGGCGCTATTACTGGGCCTTTTACTAGCATGTGGCATCGGTATAGACAGCGGCAGCGAGGCGGAAAACGTGGTGGGAAATCGCCAGGGGGTGAAAATCTCCGGATAGACGTGGCGGACGGAAGGGCGGCGCGGGAGGGAAGGGGGAGGCGTGCGCGCGCGCGGTTTGCGACGAGAACCGGGTAACCGGGAAAGAACGGAGAACGGAATTTGAATAATTCAATCGCAGAGGAGAGTCGGACGCGGCGTTAAATAAAATAACGCGGCAAAATGTTGGAATAAAGCCGGCGATGGCTCCCGACGTCGGTGCAATCGTTTTGGGGAGAGGGACGGGGGGAAGGGAGAGGAGGGGAGGGGCACCTGCCGTCGCCGGTACCGCGATCCAATTTTCTCTGCTGCCGCTTCGGGGACTTCGCCGACGCGCGTCCCCCGCTCGTTTCTTTCTTCCTTCCTTCCTACGCCCGCGAAGGGACGGGCGCGCGAACCCTCCGGGCCGGTAAAAAATGCCCCACGGCAATTGGACAGGCGTAACGTGCGCGCGCCCTCAACAAGGACTCGTTTCTCAAGAAATATGCATAAACCCGCGCGATATATGTCTTGCGATCCCGGTGCCCGGTATTACCAGGCTGCATTATTCACCAGGATACGAGCATACGCGCGCGTTGAGCGTTTTAACAAGCTAATGTCCCGATTTGATCAATTGCTTTTTTCCTTGCGGAAACTCTAGTGAAATTTTTACTAACCATCTCCCCATGATAACAAAAAAAAAAAATATGAAACATACTCCCGGTATGATGAAATATACGTCCATCGATATTTTTCCATCACTATACTGTTGTCTCCATGTTATTTCAGAATTACTAACTAATATTGTTTGCAGTGCGATTCTCATTAAACCCCTGAGACAATCGATTATCCATATTACCAACAAAATTCGTGTGATTTATTAACGAAGGTTTAATCGGGATCTCGTTTATCGTAAAATAGCAAAGAGAGAGAGAGAGAGAGAGAGAGAGAGAGGGAGAGAGTATGTCTCTCTCCCGTTTATCGCTATAATTATAACCGAGTTAAAATTTCAATGTGTGCTTATTTTCGGATTGTTTCAAAAACATATCGTTTGCATTTTATCGGCCACATTGCGTCCTTTCTCGTAACCCGTGAAAAGATACGATTTCCATTTCGCGGGGAAGCACCCTACTCAAGAATGTAGAATTCGAATGAGCCACCGGTGGACAATTACAATCCCCGAATGTGCGGTGCATTGTGCAGGAGGACAAGAGCGGACAAATTCCAGCGACCTTTTCGCGGGTGTAAATACTAGAGGGGGTCGCGCAATAAAACGGGCTGAATTAATCCCGCGGCGTATTCACTCGGAAGAGGCGGCAGATGATTATGGAGCCGGTAGTCGGGATGATAAGGGAAGGTGAGGGGGGAGAGGGAGGTGGAAAGAGGGTAGATGAAAGTAATGCGCGGCCGTAGAGTGGCGGTGACGGCGGTGGCCGGTAGTGATGGTGGAAAAAAGTTTTTGGCGGGCAGTAAATTGAACGCGCGGTCGCGCGTGGTGACATAAAATTAAAGGGAAGCTGCTTTCGACGGCGCGGACGGCGAACGGGGCTGTGTGGCTACGCGGCGACTGATGCAGTTTTCCTGCCATCAGACCCGCCCCTTTGAAGAGGATTAGTTTACGGATAGTTTTAGAGGTAGACGCAATCGCGGTTACGGTCTCCACCGAGATCCGTCTAATGGCCGTCGGGGGCTTTTCGAGCTAGTTTCGCTTTTGAATACGAGCCAGCTACGAGGTATAGGCCGAGGTAATATAACCTACGGAACCACTTTTTATATCTCGCGCAACATCGCCCAGCATGAGTTCCGCCGAAATATGGATACGTCATGTATCGTCGTCGTTTTCATACGTCACACATGCGAAAGAACGGGCTCCCGTGATTAAAATGCTTCCGGAAATAAACGCGATCGGAAAATGACATCGATCAAATGGGGAAAAGCTCTCTTCCGCGAGGCTCGGATAATACTCTTTATCCGTCGATTGCGGATATTAAAATCCGTAAATAATTTAAGGATGTGTAGTACGTACAATAGTAGCAAAAAGTTAAAGGAATTTGATTTTGACGAATATGCTCTTCTCATATAGTTTGAGTAATAAGGAGTAAAAAGATTGTGCAGAATCTTATCATTTATTCAGAAATCCTTTTGAATAGAACGCAGAAATGCTTCTGTTGCTTATTTTCTGAGAATTTTCGAATTTTCGAGAATCT